GTTCTGAATGTTCTGACATTTTCTGACACATGTCAATTTTCTATTTGTATTTTAGGGAAAATATTAATATTTATAACGTTGTAATGGTTGTAAATGTATATTTAAGATTTATTATCTCTAATAATATGGTGAAAACATGCTTTATGTGTAAAAGGCCTGTTGAAAATGCTTCTTCAAGATATCATAAGTAAGTACAGACACAACCTAATTATCAGAGGCGGTGCATTAGGCAATCACCTTTAATTATTTGCAAATAAACTTTCTTATCTTCTTATCGAAAAGAAGTAAACTTCAGCTGAGTTCGTCTTTATCCGTCTCATAATGATAATAGTAAAGGTTAATTACTTATTATTACTTTAATATCACATTTTGGTAAAGTTTATTGTTATTTTTTTTTTAGGTTTCCTTTTCTTGATATGAGAAAGAAATACATGGTTCCAAAATATAGGAATTCAACTAGTGACCACCTGAATAACTTTTTATGCTAATGAACATTTTTATTATAGACCTCAGGGGAAGAAAATATTAAAGAAAAATGCAATTTCGACGAAAGAAGTATAATAATCAATCCTGTCACTACTTCTACACTATATTCATCTGCTACTAAAATAATAAAACAGCCAGTAAGTAGAGAAACTTAAGTTTATTTCAAAAAGAATGTTTAAGGAAAACGGCATAGCCATTTTTTTTGTTGACGCTTTTTTTTAACTAATCTAAAAGATTAATTTTGTGTATTATTTAAATTTTCATTTTTTGTACTTAATTTGTTTTAGGTTTAAACAAAATGAACTTCTAAGATATGCATGGAATATCCCAAATGAGCTAAGGAAGGTTTTAAAATTCTTAAGAAAACTATTCAGAGCCAAAAAACATAAAATAGTCTTCCTGTCCAAAATATAAATAGGTATAAATATTTAGATAAGTATTATGAGTGATTCTTTATTCTATAAATAGAACATAATTTGCATCTAAATCACTACCTAATAAACTATATTATATAGTACAAAACTAAACAAGAATATCACATTATTCATATTTTTTTTAATTTCCTTCAAAAACGTCCCAATAACCTATGTTTAAATTTTTATTAGGACCAAAATAAATTATAATTTTTATTTCAACTTCAAAAACCCTCATAATATTAAAAAGGGGAAAAATGTTAGATTAGTTGTGTCCAGGAATAAACTCTTTAAACATTTATCTACTTAAAATGTGTTACTTTTAGAAGGTATGTTATTAACTTTCTATTTGTACTTGTGTTAATTTATTTAATTTTATTATCTGTTGTATTTTCAAATTGATTTTATTTCCTTTTAAAAAGAATTTCGAAGATAAAGCCGAAACGGCGAGAGAGAATAAAAAATTAGACGAAAGTGACGATATTTACTGGAGCTTTCATCTACACGCTCCTTTTTCTAGCCATCTACACCTGAGCCAGCAAGATTTATCCATCCTTACATTCTCCAGATTTACAGAGAAAACGCCGTCCCCTTTAACATATCCAGACCTTCTTTGACGGGAACTATACCACTACATTATTAGCTTTATTTGTTATTCTGAGCAATTTAAATGCATTCAAAATTGCTCATTATCGCCTCTTCTCTTGTAGATTTTGTACTCAGTTTTCTTATTTTTAGTTACGTTTGCACTGCTCTTTTATTTTCACAGCTTTAATTCTATAATGCTCTAACGCTACAATATGGATCCATTTTTGTGGTTTTTACTATTTAATGTTATTCGTAAGTGACCAACCTATTATAATAATTAAAGATTAGTGTATACAGGCCTGAAGATATTTCTGTATGGCCGAAACTAGTCGCTACTGTATTTATTTATAATAAAATTGACTTTAAGGTTTTATTCTTTAATTGAAAAAATTAGACCTTTACAGTGATTTTGTTTCATTTCCTGCATTAGACACATATAAGACGGTATTCTTTTTAAAAATAGTAAAATTAGCAAATTATTTAGTTTTTTTTTTACAATTAAAACGTTTGGACAATGTGTGTTTTTATAGATAAATGATACGCCACTGAACAAGAAGGATGTTTCCTTGTGCCCGCTTCCTCACTTCCTCTACAGATGTTGCTAACACAACAATCGCCTACAAACTCGTTTTCACGCTCCCTTTATTAGTAATTGCTCGGAGTTTTAAACTAGGAGGAGCGATTTGAATTTAGGTTGGCAATTCTGTAGGCTTCTGACTGGTCAGATTGCAGTCAGTTTCACACATCACTTTTTAGCATTAACATCAGCAGTTATTGCAAGTTCACTTAAGGTCAGTCACTATTAGTGTCGCTCTTATTTTGACATCTGAGCATGCGCAGATCACTAATTTTAATAAATTAAAGTTGAAGGTAGTAGCCATATGTGTGAGTTATATGTTCAAAAAAGAGGTATATAAAACAAGGGTGGTCCTTAAGATCTCACAAGAGTAATTTAATACGACCGGTTTCGAGGAGATCAGATCCTCATCATCAGGTATGGTCCGTATTACTTATCTATTTAAGACTAAGCCTAGAGATCTTAAGGACCACCCTTGTTTTATTTACCTCTTTTTTGAATTTTAATAAAGATTGTGCCTGTCCTTAATAAGAAAGTTATTGCAAGTTCACTTAAGGTCAGTCACTATTAGTGCCGCTATTATTTTGACATCTAAGCATGCGCAAATGTTTATGTTCTAAAACTGACTTTATTAAGAATTGTGCCTGTCCTTAATTGTGGATGTTTAAGGGCAGCAGGTAGTGGCGACTTTATAGTTTTCGGATGCGCTCGCCGACATTCGTATTTTTTAATATTAAATATTTAATATATTCGTCATTTAAACTTTCTAAAATTATAATTTTTAATGCTTCTTTAATATTAAAGACAACAAAAAAGATGAACTATAATTTATAATAAGTTTAGTGGCTTTATAGGAATTTGCAATATCTCTCTATTAAGGACAGGCACAATCTTTATTAAAGTTAGTGATCTGCGCATGCTCAGATGTCAAAATAAGAGCGACACTAATAGTGACTGACCTTAAGTGAACTTGCAATAACTATCTAATAATTAGGCATTCCAAACTGAATGGCTACCAGTGGGTTTTGACGGGTTATGATATGGCAAAATTATGGCAACCCTGTAGGCCTGGTGATTTGACAAGGCCATGAAATAAATAGTTACATAGATTGATCATCCATATTTTTAAAAACAAACATAAGCTTATGCCTTGAATTAAAAATGTAAGCAATTATTTTTTTTTAAATATCTACCCACTGGCAGCCATTTGGAAATGTCGTTGGAATGCCTAATTGATATTTTTGACAGTTGTGACATTTTATATTTTGATATCTCACCATTATCACGTTTTTTACTTTATTTTGTTAATAATAGTTTTTTACGGAACTTCAGTAAGTAATTGTATTGAATTTTTACGATTGTGGATCGTTCTTCATCGAGTACTATTAAGGGTAGCAATTCCTTAAAAGCCCTGCAAGAAAAGGAAGACCACTTATTTTACATGTTAATTATGAGAAAGGTTTTGTAGAAAATGCATAATTGGTTTTGAAGGCAAAAAGATGAGAGATTACCATAAAGAGATGAATTCCGAAGTATTCCAGAAAAGACTAATAACTTTATTACTGATCTTTTAAAACTAAAAATTGATAAATTTCTTGCCAAAATAATTAAAAAGTAACTAAATATTCGAGTAAATTTTATTTATTAGAAAATACTAAAACTAGAGATGCAACGGATAGTTGTTTGGCCGGATAACGGATATCCGGCGAGCTTCAAGGCCGGATAGCCGAATATCCGGCGGCCCAATATCCGGCCTAACGTCTAGCGCCTGATGTGAGAATTCGAACGTCGCGCAGGCGCAGCGAACGCAATTAGCAGGACGAGGAAGGTCGTGCGGCCATTGTAAGGAAAATCATTTGTTTGCTCGCTGCTTGCTACGTGATCTGCGTCGTAGAAAACAATTAAAACATGGCAATGGTGAAAAAACGATCGCCTATTTGGCAATATTTTGAAATAGATAAGGAAAATAATAAGTTTTCTGTTTGTTTGTTGTGCCAGGTTAAAATTTCTCGTGGTGGTGAAGGAAAAAAAGCAGGTAGGTACGTTAGTGTTAGGTTAGGATATTATATTTTTGTTTATTTTATATTGATGTTTTTCATTTGAATATTAGTTAGGTTTTGTTAACAGTGTTAAAGTTACGTTTTATTGGTGGCTCTGCCCAACTCTTCCCGATATCTATAACAGCATTTTTGAAAAAAATTAAAACAAGAATTTCAAACGCAGTCACAGTTTCTGTCACTTCTGATATATGGACGTGTTTTTATAATAACTCTAGCTTCCTGAGATTCACAGCTCATTGGTTGTCTCCAGAATTCCAGCTTTAACACGGAGTTCTTACAATAAAACCGTTTCCAGGATCTCACACAGGAGAAAACATAGCAAATAAACATAATGCTATCGCAGCTCGCTGGGATATTGAGCAAAATACATGTAATTGTTCATAACAGTGGTGCTAACATGATTAAAGGCGTTCGAATGGAGGAGTATGATTCTGCCAGATGTTTTATTCATTCGCTTCAGAGGGTTGTGACTCAGTCATTAAAGATACAGGCTGAAGTAATGGACATGATTGCCAGAGGTAGACGTCTCGTAACTCACTTCAATCATTCGGGTTTAGCACAAGAGAAACTGCTGGCGTTTCAAAAGGAGTTAAGTTGACTAGAGCATCAATTAGTGCAGGATATCAACACGAGGTGGAATTCTACCTTCTATATGGCAGAACGCTTGTTAGAACAAAAACGGGCAAATATCTCTTTATGTAGCTGATTATGATGACACACTCACTAATTTAACCACTTATTAGTGGTTCTTGATGGAGCAGTATGTAAAACTCTTAAAGCCATTCGAATAAATAACTAAAATCACAAGTTCTGGCCTTTCTTGCATATCCGAAGTTATACCACATGTAGCTGCATTAAAAAAATACTTGGACAACAATGAGACTGCGCAACGAACAGCATGACTTAACTCAAATGAGAGCCTCCTTAAAGGCTAAATTGGAATCTCGCTTTAGCTCCTTGAGTGAAGATCCGACTTACCTTATTGCAACATTTTTAGACCCCAGATTTAAAACAAACTATTTGGGAGCAGTTGAATTCGAAAGAGCGCGACAGAAGATCTTATTGGAATACCTAAAAATGACTTGCGACGAGTCTTTTAACAGCGGTAGTTCATCGGGGTTTCCAATACCTATTAAAAGAGTCAGAGAAACTAATTCAAATGTAACTTGCGAATCTCACGACACATTTTGGAATTGTTTTGATGAAGTAGCAAATAAAAACAATATTCAATGTCGCGACCAGGAAAAAAACCCAATTGCAAACGAGATCGACTACTATTTGAAGACGGTTCGAATTGATCGCAGCCGCGACCCTTACACTTGGCGGTCAGTTAACTCGAAACACTATCCATATTTAACCAAGTTTGCCAAAGCTGGCTTGGTGTACGAAAATAAGCGAAATCGACTGCCACCATAATTTACCACTTATTAATTTTGACTATTAAAAGATAATTTTAGGTTTTCAGAAGAAGGTTATTTTTTTTTGTTCTTTGTGACTTTTTGTGTTTTTGTAACTTTTTCAGCTTTAAATAAAAGCAAGTCATAATTTTAAGCCATTTTGTTATTATTAATAATTATTATTATTTACCACAAAAAGATTTATGTATTAAAGTTGATTTCAGGGAATTGTCACGAATTGTGTCGTAATTATTGAATATTTGGTATCCGGCTGGATATTAAGCTACTATCCGACATCCGGCCGGATATTAAATTTAGGCCGGATAGGCCAAATACCGGATAGTTTCCGGATATCCGTTTTACCTCTAACTAAAACCATTTACAAAATTGATAATTCACATTTAAAACACAATCTTACTACATTAGATAATCCTAATTTGGCATAATGAGCTAACATTACTTTCACAACAATTTTAAAAATATCTACTTAACATTAATACATAGGTATCCATGAATAGTACACTTTAAATTAAAAAATGTAGGTAAAAATTACAACTAGAGTTAAAAGGACCTACAATATTAGATTTTAGTAATGATATAATGTTGATATGTAGTGTTATGCAAATGTTGCTTCCAGTTTTCAAAACAAATCCTGACGACTCATAGGCCTGTAAACTTTTAAATGCCTTCATTTGCCCTTTAGCGTATTAGGTATGGGTTAACACTAAATAAGCTACAATGTCCATATTGTTCATAGGAGAAATTCCAGTCACTTTGTGATCCAGTTGCCATTCACTGATTAACTTAATTAAAAAGTTCATAAACATCCTCAAAAAGTCGATTTTAAAAGCAAGAAAAACATATTTCTGATAATGTCAAAAAATCAACGACAATATTAAATTTCATTTGACAGTGACAATTCATTTTAGATACTCCAGATCACAATAATGTAAAATTTACAACCGTTGTCTGGAACCAATAAAAAAATCGACTCATATGACATTTATTTGTTCCTTAACTTCTCATTGGCGGTTGGCCGACTAGGACCAATAACAAATTTTGAACATGACTATATTTCGGAACACGCTCTTAGTAACGAATTTAGTTACTTTTCCTTGTGTAAATACGTCTTTTTATTTCGCTCTTCCTAGTTTAAAAACAGAGATAGGCACTTCAAGCAAGCTATATAAGCCGAGAATCCTGACGTCAGTTTTCAGTTTTAGAATAGACGTTATACGTTAATGATTTTAAAAATATTAACCTGGAAAACTAGTATATCTCGATGATATAATGATCATGTCAAAAAATTTTGATAAACATTTAAAAAACTTGAGTGAAGTATTTGACAGATTAAGAAATTCCAATATAAAGCTTAATTTCAATAAATGTTCGCTATTCCAATCGGAAGCTTATTATTTGGGACACATCGTTTCCGTGGAAGGAATCAAAACTGATTCAGAGAAAATTATAGCTATCAACGATTGGCCTAAACCAAAAGATAAAAGAGAAAATAAAAGTTTTCTTGGACTGTCGTCTTATTATCGGAAATTCGTTAAAGACTTTGGCCGAATTACTAAACCTCATCATCGACTAACTGAAAACAGTAGTCTATTGTACACCGGAGTGCCAAAATGCCTTCACCGAGTTGAAAAAGCGATTGACCACAACACCTATCCTAGCTTACCCTCGAGAAAAGGAACAATTTATTTTGGACTGCGATGCATCCAAACACGGCGTGGGAGCCGTACTATCCCAATAACAAAAGGGGAAAGAGAAAGTAATTGCGTACTTTAGTAAGACCTTGAGAAAAGCTGAGAAGAATTATTGCATCACCAGGAAATAATTATTAGCTATGATCAAAGCCCTTAAAAACTTCCATACTTACCTTTTTAACATAATTTTCATCGTTAGAGGTGACCATAGTGCCTTGAAGTGGCTGATGAATTTTAATAAGCCTGAAGGTCAAATTGATAGATGGGTAAAAAGATTGCAAATATAACGTCGAAATAATGCATCGAAGAGGCCGTCTCCACAGCAACGCAGATATTCTTTCCAGAAGACCCTGTTTAGAACGACAATGCCGATATTGTAAAAGGCTCGCATAACGAGAGGAGCCAGTTAAAGAAGTTAGTCTTTAGGCAGCCACTATCAAGCCAGAGGATTACCAAGACGAAGTCACCCTTGAAAGCCTGGGAGAGACTCAAAAGAAAGACAATGACTTAAAGTTTGTCCGAAAATGGCTCAAAAATAGAATTAGGCCTACTTGGCAGGAGATAGCTAGATATAGTGAAAATATTAAAGGATATTGGACTGAGATTCCCTATATCTTCACGATGGTCTATCGCACCGAAAGTGGGAGAGCCCCGATGAAGCACATGTAGTTCGCAAATTGGTACTGCCGAAATCATAGGTCAAAAATGTATTGAAGGAGCTTCGCCGACGGGATATAGAAGATTGGTGTAAAAAATGTGACCTCTGTAATGGCAGAAAAGGATCTAAAACAAGAAGTCAAGGTAAAATGGCACAGTACTTTTTTGAAGAGCCATTCAAATGAATCGCCGTAGATATCCTCGGACCACTTTCTCTAATAGAAAGGGAAAACAAATACTTGATGGTTGTTATGGACTATTTTTCAAAGTGGCCCAGAGTAGTACCTATTCATAATTAGAAAGCGACAACAGTAGCGAAAGCATTTATGATGAACGTCATTGCGAGACACGGAAACCCTCTGAAATTACATTCTAATCAAGGACGAAATTTTAAATTCGAATTATGGCAAGAATTGATGAAACTGTATTTCTGCTAGCCTACCGAAGTTCTAAACATGAAACGACCACTTATACTCTCTTCATGATGATTACTGGAAGGGAGATAAAACTTCTTTTTAAAAAGCAGCCTCCTGGCGAAGAAGAGATCCGTACTCCTCCCACGTACATACAAAACTTAAAAGAAAGATTAGAGAATGTATACGAATTCGTTCGTCAACGTTTGAAAGTTAATAGCGATAAAGCAAAAGATAGAATCGACATGCATGCCACAGGTACACATTTTGAGAGAGGCGATCCAGTATGGCTGTACAATTCCAAGCGCCGAAAAGGACTGCAACGGAACTGGGAAGGCCACTACACCGTCCTTAAGAATATCAACGATCTGATCTACCGCATTCAGTTATCAGCGAGAAGTAAACCCAAGGTAGTTCACATGGAAAAGTTAGCGTCATACCGTGGTCTAGATCCTACCCGTTGGCTCTAAGCAGATTCCAGTAATCCAGTTATTCAAGACGAATAATTAGAGAAGGGGAAGCAATGTTATCCTACACCCTGCAGTAGCCTTGGCCGTTATAGAAAACGTACAAATACAAAAAGAAATGTAATGTCACCTACCACACTAGTATGCGGCGATCATCATAAGTAAAAATACGAGTAAAAGAAGATAAAATAGTCCAGAAATGACTGGAAACATCATTACTTGTGAAGAAAATTCTAGGCTCTTCGAGAAGGTTCGAGAAGGGTCAAGCAAGCTATATAAGTCGAGGATCCTGACGTTATTTTTCAGTTTTATGATACACGTTATACATTATTGTTATCAGTTGCATAGGTATTGTAGAAGTTGAGTTAAAATAAATTGAGATACCAAAAATCTGTGTAACAATATAAATAATTAATAAATATTTTCTATAATTCATTAATTTGTCAGTAGACTTTCTCAGCATGTCGTGTTAACATTTTACTTAAATAATAAGGGTTTTTATTTTTTGTATAAGAGTTTAGAACCAAAATAAATAAATTTAAAATTACATCTCCAGCCACCAGTAATCCTAATCTTTAATTATAACTATACCCTTTTCTACTCGAACCTTTGTATCCAATTTTCATGTGCAAGGACCGTCATTTTATAAATATTTAAGAATACATTCGGCGTCCCTCTGATTAATTACATTTAATCCCTGTTTACTCGCCTCCTTTTGTTTCCTTTAGAAATTGCCCGAGCGACTTTTGCACTCTAATCCTTAAGGACCGAGAATCCCTAAAGACGATTTTTTTCATTCGGATAAGATTTTGTGTCCGATACTAACGAGAAAAAAATTTCTTTGGAAGCTTTATCAGTAGAGTAACAAGGTCATTTTGTAATAAGATTAGAAGTTGATGAATTAATTAAATGTGAGCAAAACTAATATTCCAAATTCGTTCTTCAAAAAGTACACCTAATTTATTAAAGCAAATAAGATAGATAATATACTTTATACAGGGTGTACGAATAAATAATAATTTTGGTTCTTAAAATATTTTATTACTTTTTTTTCTGTCCTGTTTCCCAGCTACCGAGCAAACATAAGATTCGACTCCTTCGCTATAGCGGCTACGTTACCTCCCTTCTTGAAAACGGTTAACATTGCAATTGTAAAATATAACAACTAATTAATAGCAAAACGATTAAATGTTTTGCCAATCAATATTTATATCGAATAATAAGTCGGTTTCAATCTATCAATGGAAATATTTGTCGGTTTTTTTTTTTAATTGATCCAAATCTTTTCCTTTCTTGAGATTATTTTAAAAGAAACATCATAAACAGGCTGTGCGAAAGTTTTACGGTTTTCCTTTTTTATAAAAACATGAGTACACGTCTTAAGATCTTTGGAGACAAAAATAATATGTTAACGTATGTTTTGCCTTGAAGGTATAAATTTTAAATTACTCATAAACGATATTAACTGATCTGCAAATAATGTAGGATAACTTCCCGCAGAATTTTTAAAATGTCGTTTCGACTGACATTTAAGAGAGATTTTAATTTGTTTATAGAATCTATCTACAATATCATTGGAAATTGGATGATAGGCTGCAATACGAATTCTGCATGGTCCTATGAGATTCAACAGTTCTCTTCATAAGTTTAATTCAAATTGTTGCCCTCTATCGGTGGTTATCGGAACTCCAAATCTAGATATCCAACCGGAATTAAATGTCCTTGCTACACTTGCAGCTAAAATTTTGGGCATTGGGAAAGCCTCTGGTCAGCGGGTAAATCTGTCGATACAAGTATGTGAGAATATCCTCTACATTAGAGCAAGGGACCGATGATATCAATGTGAATATTTTCAAAAGGGTTATTTGGGCAACTAAATTCACCAAACTGTGATTTTGTATGCCTTGTAACCTTATGTTTTTGACAATAAAGACAACATTTTAACCAGTTTTTTATATCAGTATTAAAATTTGGCCAGATATAACG